GGGTACTCTGCAATTGTGTTAGACAAATAACAAAGGTTGGAACTAACCTTGATCTCTTGTGTGGTCTCATACGGGTCGTGATAGACATTAATCGTCTCGGCCATGAGGACCGGTGAAGGAGGCATACTCGGATGATCATCTAACAGAACATCCGCATCCGAGGCGGGTTTGGTAACATCTGACTCGGCAGCTGTATCCGCAGCTTCCGGAAACTCTTCCTTCCCCGTGATTGCAGCTGCGACGCGCTTAGCACGTCGAGTGAAACCATTCCGTTTGTGACCTTGATGCACGTGTGGATCGAAAGGGTAGTGCGTGAAACAATGAACGAAATCACATAGCGCCAAAAGATATGCCACAAGAAGTTAATTGTTTTGATCGACATCAGTGAAAATCGATTAGTTACGCAAGCAAAGCAAATGTGGTAATGAAACAAACGTCAATTGTTAAGGATAACGAAGATAGCTCAGTAGCTCTATTTCAACAAAAGACTTGGTGAACGTGGCAGGCGAAGTAATTGTTAAGGATTTCTAACGAGAACTAGAGAACTAGAAAGCTGAGTTGGACCAATCGGCTCCTTATGAAGAGTAAAATTGTACTAAGCAAAACTGTGTGAGAAATTCAATCGGCAAGATGTAACTGGACATTCGAAACTGAACACTCCAAGGTAGGGTTTTGTTCATATTTGACGTCAGTAACCGCATCAAACTGCATAGAATTCCACACACATTTAAAACACCTAATTGAACAATTCATGTTTGGTTTAACAGTTTTCAACTTTTTGAACTTAATGATGCATGGTGATAGTCGAGAGGTTTTATTGGCGGTATTCCTGCCTTCAAAGTTCGAACCCCGTTACTAGGCGGCTTCGCCATCGTCTGGTAGAATACTACGCACACTTTGTTACCATAGTGGATGATGATTTGCGGTGAACAATGTATTTCACACACATCTGAATCCAATGACCTACATAAGAAGAGAAAATCCCATGATTCGTTTGTGGGCAGAGTACTGCCAGATTGCCCAGGCCGAGGTGAACAATACTGAGATAAAATCAAACCGGAGTCTCCAAAGTAAGACAAACAGGCGAGGTGAATGCAAATGTAGCTCGAGAAAAGGTGTATCGTCTTGCTGTGTTTGCGAATTGACTGAATTTAACTGGGCGTATGCATGGCATAATTTCAATTGCTCAATACATGTTTACCCAACTGGTCAGCCTTCTCCAATACATCAAGACCTTGAGTGGGGTTACCACTAAGTTTTCGTCAATGTATGGTTCAACTTTTCTACTATTTAACACATCGAGATAAGTAATGAAAAAAATTTCAGCCCAGACTCCGGAGTTTGATTCATATCAGTGAAATGAAGTAGTGAAATGTTAAATAGGTCCAACCGTTGACAAATTCCGCGCGTATAAGATGCAGCATTGCTGGCACCCCGCTGAAATGAGCGCGCCAGCGAGTCAATCAAAATATGATGAAGTTCCATACAACAGAGAACACAGACGAATGGGTACTGTGTCACGCGGTGCTGACCTCTCATTCAAGATACTGGGATCCATCTGGGGTATACCAAATAAATGGTGGGTTTTACTAATCATACGTCAATCGCGAGCTCAAGTTTCAATGGATGCGATGGGGATGCACTGCTAACGTTTCTGCGTAGAGATGAAACAGTTGCACTTCCCTTGCGCAGTGATGAAAGAGATGTGGACTTTGTGTGAACAATGCGAAACGGCCACGATATTATTCCCAATGCGTTTAAGTATTTGTCAGTAAAGTTCAATGGGAAAGAACAGAAAGAGTAAAAGGAAATAAACTTACGGGAGACGGAGGACGATGGTGCGTCAGTAATGAACGCTGTATTTTCATCCACTTGACGTACAAGCTGAATTCTGGAGTGCAAAAGAGGGTGTGTGAGAATACAATTAAATAGGGGGGGAGGGGGTGCAGGAGTAAACGCTATATCAGTATCCCTAAAGCGGTGGTAACGATGTGCGGGTAATCCAAATGTGAAGAGATCAGTGCAAGCGGTGTAGTCGTGTAGCTTAGCTGGTAGGGTGTACGCGGTACAAAGGCGTAGGCGGTGTCTGTGCGTTGGTTCGAATCGCACCGAGGTAAGTGAACGTTTCACAATTAGAACAGAAAGTATTATTACTTTTTTCAATGAGCAAGTTAGCACTGGCCGAAAGAATACGATAAGGATTTAACGCAAGTGGGGAAAAGAGTGACGATTTTGCAAAACAATCACATGTATAACGACACAAGCACAAGTGCGGTTTTACAACTTTTCCAAAACTTACAAGCATTTATTCTGTTATTAATTATCATCGCTACTATCATAAATAATAATAATCATATGTCGGTGTTCGATCTCCTCATTGCTCCGCTTGCTGAATTGCGAAGTCGCAATCACATCTCCAAGAGAAAAAGGGGTGCATTTCACAGGATCAGAAACATCATGAAATAACGTGTGTTGCCAGTGAAGTAGCACCACGTTTGATTCGAGTGTCTTGGATGTCTTGGATGGGTACGATCATATTCTTATTCAGTCACCTGTGCTCATCCAGCGGAGCACAAAATCTAGTCCTCGGGTTAGTTTGACCAAGTGGTCTTTGATATTCATTGAATCCGGTATAGCAGAAACAATCTTGGAAGAGTAAAAACGGTCAGAGGAGAAGGTATAAAATAGAGAAAGATGTAACCATCAGACGATGGGTTGAAAGTGATTAAACTCGGTGGCTTTAGTTCGGATTCCATCACAAAACCGATAAAGAAGACAAAGCTCCGACGCAACGCAAACACGTGAGCACCGGAGCCCAAACGAGAGTTGGGAAACTGAGTTTGACCAAAATGAAGGAACTGTTCGTGAGAATAAAAGAGGTTCCTGAGCCAGAGATTCTATCGCTACCGGAAACTCAACTTTAGTACCGTTGCTGTTGCCCGGTTTTACATCACACCCATCCAATTGGGGTTTGTGTGGAGGTTGCTACCTTACTGTCTAGTGTTTAATTTATCGATTTGTTCAAACACATCTACACCAATTTTGTTTGTCCAATCAAATGGGTTTGCTTACCGTCGATGGCCAATGACGAGAAGTCGTAATTTCGTTCCCAAAT